TATTAAGTCTCTTATTTGTTTTTAGCTGTTTTTTATTTATTATTTTATACAGAATGATGTTTAAAACTAACAATTTATTTAACTTGAATTTTAGAAGACTTTTCTGTCTTGGCCTTTGCAGCTTTACTGTTTTATTAATATATATACGATCTTCTGGAATTATTTTTTGATCGAATACCTCTGTTTGTTTGATCAGTAATAATTAATGCATTATCAATGTTTTTATCATTACATGTTTTACCAGGAGCAATTACTGTATTATTAACAAAATCGAAATATAAATATATTTTTCTTTGATCAATAACAAAACTGTTATTGAAAGCATTACGTGTTTAGTATGGGATTCTCTATGTTATATTAAAATCAAAATTAGCTCTATAGGACCTCAATTCGAGTCAGTTTTATAGAACCTATATAAAAAACTTATATTAAAACTTAAACTAATTGTAAGATAAATATTAAAAAAGCAAATTGAATACTCGATCATTATTTATTTAATATGAATTCTAAAACTTAGTTGCTCAGCAAAAAGTTCTACTACCTCTCAACTGCGTTTGAAACAAAAGTCTTATGAAGAATTGTTACGCTTATTTGTTAAACAGAGCGATTCTAGAGACCCTACAACCAAAACTTCATATCATCTACATACAATAAAGCAGATTCTTTACAAAAATTAAGCTCTGCATTAAGCTTTCATTAACTTCACATGGGCAGTTGCCAAGCTATACATATAATGGCTCTTATGAGTGATGAGGACCCTTCAGGGAAAATTTGTTATATCATATTGTATGGTACATATCAGCAAGACAGGCTATGTCTACGTTGAAAGGATGTCGTAGATTAAGACGTATGAAATCTAAGACTATCCATTTGGATAACACCGGCTAGCAATCAGGATTGGTAGAGAGATTTGTTAAATGAGACTCTTACCTGAAACCGGTAGTAGTGCCGACGATGATAGTGATTTATTTAAATTTGTTTTCGTTAGAAACTAAATATCTTTCTAAACAGATTTTAGTCAAGCGTTCATAGAGTTATTGCTGATATATAGTTGTAACTGCTCCAAAATTGGACTTCCAGTTTACAATTCATTCGAACCAGTCGCAGTATTCTTATGTTTGGTATCATATTTTAATGTTTGATTACTGACAGTTTGTCATAAAATATTAAATTGCTTTCTTCATATATAAAATATTTTGTAGGAAGTTTTTTACGTAAAGAATTTGTACTTATTCGTCCCAATTTCAGTCTCTTATTCTCTACTATTGTTGTTATTGTTTCTTGTTGTTGTTATTTTATTCTTATTAGATCAAAAAAGATTAAAGAGAGATTAAAAGAGATTAAAAAAGTAAAAATAGCAAAATAAAACTTCAAAATTTATAAGTATAAATCTTTTGTACGAAAATATTAATGTGATAAACCATAATGAGATTTTCTTGACTAGGATGATGCCTCTTACTAAATATTAATTTCTCTCACTTACAACTGTTTATAGTTTAATGAAGAAATGTCCGTTAAATAAACCGTTGCTATGAATTGTTTACATGTAGTTTAATTCAGTTCAATGAAGTTTCATGTAGATAAAAATTATATTCAGGCGTCTATTTGGGTACGAGTATATGAATTATATGAGTTATCTGAGTTTATAAGTTTATGGTCAATTCGTTTGTAAATGCCACTACCAATTAATGTGTGAATACGCACATTCATTCATACGCACCAATTTTCTGCCACAAGTGAAACATATAAAAATACGTAAACAATTCCTTTAAGCGTTCCAAGTATTTCAAGTGCAAATATGGAAACATCTCTAGACAATTTAATACCGGGGTTCGAATGAACATTGATTATAAATTTCCATTAGATATTTGATGAGTATTATTATGGTTTGTGAGATTTATGTGGGGTTTCATATATCTGAGAAACCCTCTCAACTTCATTGCTATTTGAGCTGCATGTGAAATTATTCATAATACCTGGTTTTTATTTTTTACTGACTATTCCAAATAGGGGCAGTCTTACATTGGTACTTAACCAGTACCAGTTTTCATGGCAGGTCTCAATACAACTCTTCACAATGTTGTGATTTAATGCCTCATATCGTACTGTGCGTGTAGCACATTTATAATTCATGTCCGCAAATGTTTAACTGCAAAGCCGTGTTCATCTCTTATGCGTCTGATTCCTCAGCACTGATGCTTTATATTATTGATAATTGGCAGTTGCGCATAAGAATTAAATGGATGTTGACAGTAGTGAAGATGCAGTTTACTTTACAAATGAAGTTATATTGATATATGTTGAAGTCTAACCTTAGGCTTTCTATGAGCTAAGTACTTTCTAATTTAATAAAAAGTCGAACCTTCAGTGAATGTTAATGAGCACAAATTAAATTATATCATATATGAGGAAGTCCTGTTACACGTAAAGTATGATATATTGTGTGATATAAATGATATATTGTATTCTCCCTTTTCTTCATATATTTTTGAATAAAAATGTTCAATATTGAAAAGAAATTTCAAAAAAGGTTTGTATTGATCTTTATTATATCTGCACTTTTCCCATTTTTCGGGTAGCTTCATAATTCCTTTGGTGTAGGATTTCCGTTATTTATAGTTTATTGGCAAAAACTATGACCAAGTGATTTTCAACTGCTCATCGGTTGACTCATTTTTATAACTAAAATAGTTTTGTTGAGATCGAAACAAAAGTTTGAGATGGTGCAAGGTTCGAACAAATCGGTGAATGCCCGAGTTATCAAAGATATGTGTAGCCTGGCACTGTCATTGGTGGGACACAACTCTTTTTCTGTTGTACAATTTTGGTTGCTTTTTATTGATAATTTCATTCAAGCAATCAAGTTGTAAACAGTAAAAAGCTACCTACCTATTCGTTACAACAAACTGAAGCAGCTCATAATAGACAATTGCCTTTTAATTCCACTAAATACTTAACATTTGCTGCTACTCTACACATTGAAGTCATTTATTAAGGATCACCAGGTTTTGACCATGATCGTTTTCTTCGAATATTTTCGTCTTCAATTCACTCTTCATCATCCGTAATGATTTACTTTAAGAGTGATTTGAATTCGTTGATTTTTAGCAACCTTTCTTTAATAATAATTCGGTCAATCAAATTTCTTTATGTTGATTTATATAGTACCCAAAATGAGTGTCTTTGCATAATCTACTAATTTTGTATGATTCGTAAACTCTCATATGTTTGATGTTTAGTGAATCCAGAAATGACAGAAACTTTTTATACCATCAAGTATAAATATTTGATAAAGAGAATTTAATATTATATTTTAAGCTTGAGAATGTAACTTTTGCATTGAATATATAAAAGATTTTGATTTATACGTAACTCTACCTTTAACTACTATGTTTCAAATAAGGCAGAATTGGCTGAAGAAGTCGTAGAGAACTACACTATAATGATTCAAAAACAGTTTAATTGAAAGGATAAAAAAGACAGTTTAAGCCAGTTAGCCGCTTTTATGAACGTTTCCTCTTAGAAAAACTGGTATATGTTTTCCTAGAACTTATTAAGAAAAGCACATCTCTCCACTTTCTTGATTTCTACGAGTTGCTTCTAACATAACGATATCTATGGCAACATTGAATTAGAACGTGGAAAGCTCACAGTTTTGTGTTATTCTAGAGTTCGCTTATATATCTCA